TAGGATCAAAAGCATGAGCTATCACCCATGGCTTGAAGATAAGGATTCTTAAAAGAAGCAATAATACTTGGTGACCAAAAGTAGGATCATTTAGCTTCTATCAGTTCAACAGAATACAGAAATGAGAGAACTCAGAATAAAGTTCTTCTTCTTCTTCTTCTTCTTTTTTTTTTTTTTTTTGTGGTACTGAGGCTCAAACCCAGGGTCTCATGTATCTGAGAAAAGTGCTCTCCCACTGAGCTACATCCCCAGCCTGACAATGAAATTCTTTAGGAAATTATCTTGCTATTCTCTTGCCTCAGTCTCCCAAGTCACTGGGATTATAAGTGTGTGCCACCTCACCCAGCCCTGAGTACACCTGTAATTAAGTAAGAATACATAAAATAGTCATGTATTTTAAAACTAAATAATAAAGGACAGATGATATAACTAACATCTTGCAAAAATAGCTAGAATATCAAAGATTATGACCTACGAGACACTTGGAGTTGAACTGTAAACAACACACATTAATAAGCTTGAGATCTCCAAGGTGGGAAATGAAGTCTGTAAAAGCAAAATATTATCACTAAATATCCAACCTCTTAGCACTATACCCAATTCAAAACTACAAAAAGTAAAGTATCAACTGGGTATGGTGGTGCACACCTGTAATCTCAGCTCCTCAGGAGGATTGGAAGTTCAAGACCTCAGCAATTTAGCGAGATCCTGTTCAAAATGAAAATGAAAAAGGGTTAAGGATATACCTCGGTGGTAGAGTACATCTGGGTTCAGTTCCCAGTACCAGAAAGGGAAAGAGAAAAAAAAAATAAGGCATAATCATTATCCTGTATACTCAAAGTGTTCTATTAAATGCTATGTCTCTCCTAATAAGATACTCTGCTCCTTTGAATACATGGTAATGTAAATTAAAAAATAAACATGCTGGGGCTGGGGTTATGGCTCAGTGGTAGAGTGCTTGCCTAGCATGTTTGAGGCACTGAGTATGATCCTCAGCACCACATAAATGTAAAATAAAGATGTTGTGTCCACTTAAAACTAAAAAATAAATATTAATAAAATAAACATGCTATGTTGTTCACATGATTTCTTCTTTAACTGTAGATATAAAACAAAAGAACAAAAAATTTAAATGCTATTTTTTTCCCTAGTACAGTCTATTATATAGACTGCATGTTGCTGCCTCTATAAGAGTATGATGGTATGTAAAGGGGAAAGTCGGACACATAAACCTGGGAATATCTGGGAAACAGCACATGTATAGGATATCTATGCAGATTTATATATATATCCCTCCCTCCTTCCTTTTGCACATAAGTATCCTACTTTAACTTTGTAAAGAATAGATCAGTGGTTCACAAAATGTGGTACTCTGACCAAGGGCATCAGCATTAACCACAGAACTTGTTATAAATACAAATTCTTGGGTTGGAGCCCAGACCTATAGAATGAGAACCTTGGGGAATGGTAGAGGAAGGGAAAGGGAGGCAATGTGTACTTTAAAAAGATTTCAAGGTGATATGATGTACCCTAAAACGAGAGAACCAATGGACCAGAAAAATTAGAGAGTCTCAGAACTCAAGAATTTACACTTCTAACAAAACCAGTGTCACCAGCTGTCCGTAGACTGTGTGTGGATTGTGTTACACATAGTAGCCTCTTGAGGGGATAGGCTTGGCTCTGCAAACTCCCTGTCAGGGACTGAATATATGATACAGGGGCCGCTCCGCCTTAGCTCTGCCTAAAATCCCACACACCACCTGAGATGGATGTGACTCACTATGATGTCAATCAATCTGCTGACCAGGAGACATTACTAAACAAGACTCCACCCTTGAAACCTTATCCCCCTCTGATATCTCTGCTATAAAATAAAGAAAACTTGGGGCTCATGGTCTCTTTTCCAGGGTTCTGTCCAGTTTGGAAGCTGACCCTTAAGGTCACAGAGCTGTCTCTCCCTCAATTGGAAAACTTTTGAAAACTACTCTCTGTGTGTCTTTTCTTGGCTTTCTTAGCTTAATATTGCAGCCAGCTCTTTTAAACCAAGTTCATGTTGTCTGCGTGGGTCATTGGCGAGAAAGCAGAACATTAACATCAATTAAAATGACGTAGCAATGAATCTTAGGAAATAACCTAGGAGGTAGACACAAAGCAATATTAAATGCTTTCTAGTAAACCCTACTGGCTTCTGTTCCTGTCCACACTATTTTTCATAAAACAATGTTTCACAGAATTGACAGAATATAACTGTTGCAGTTATTTTACTATTTTTTATTTTATTTTCTTAATATTTATTTTAAGAGACAGGATCTTGCAATGTTGTCTAGGCTGCTCCTGAACTCCTGGGCTCAAGTTATCTTATCTTAGCCTCCCAAGTAGCTGAACTAGAGGTATATTGATATTATATGAACACAGAGATATATAATAATATATTTTTATAATCTACTCACAATTACAAGGAAGCAGTCATGGGTAAAACATG